GCATTTGTTTTTACATGTTCTTTGTTCATGCTCTTTATCATTTTTCTGAGTTGGAAAGTTAGATTGCATCATAGTTTACTTTATACATATTTGTATTCTTCAGTGGTGAAGTATATTGCAAAGCAGCTCAGCCATGTGAGAAGACTTTTGGCACTTTTTCGTTTTTCGTTTTCTGAGTTGGAAAGTTAGATTGCATTCAAAATGTACAGAAATACTTAATTTTGTTAAAGCTTTTTATAAAAAATGCTTCTGACCAGAGCTTTGTTTCCTTGTCATTAATGTTGAACACCACCAGAGGGGCTCTCACCTGAAAGGTCTCTGCTTCATGTGTCTTCAGCAGAAGATCTAGACTTTGATTGCTATATTTTCAGTTAATATTGACCTTACTGAGCTTTAGCCATATCCACTGCCTATCATAAAAAATGTTAAGTACAGTGAACCTTTCTAAAATATACAGTAGTAAAGAGACAAACCCACCAGCATTATAGTAGCCAAATTCTTGTTTGTGGGCTGTATATATAAAATTGACTTGAAAAAGTTGCTGATTTTAGAGTACTGGCACCTTTTTCATTCCAATTCAAGCACTGTCTATACTTATACCACCTCCGTTTATAGCCTATGAAAAACTATTAGAAAACGAAGGCTAAAGCTAACGTTAGCAGATAGTGACAATGTATGCTAGCTAGCTAGCTCAACGATAATATTGCGACAGAAAAACTTTTCAGTGCACATCACGCTCTGCGCTCCGACAGGGAGCTCTGCTCTGAACACCTGAACGGCCCGTTCTAACAGCTGTTCACCAGCGGTCCGGTCTGTACCACAGTGACTCCGGACCGCACAGTTAATATTAACGAACGCACCCGTAGGTAATGTAGCTGCTGAAGCTAGACCATCATCGCGGAGCAGCAGAGCCGACAGGCAGGAAGACTCGAGCACACAGCTCGCGCTGCATTATAATATATAAAAAAAGAACACCATGCGTGTCATGATGGCACATAACAGCTCGCGGCCGCAGATTACTCCGGGTCCCAGACCCCCCCATACACCAAAAATATTGTTATTGCAGATCTACATGAATCACACAAACGACCTATTTTGGATTCAAAACGGCGAATTTCGCCGAAAGGTGAGTGATTTTCATGCCTGCACAATAAAAGGCCACTCTGAAACGTGCAGTTTTGCTTTATTCTTTCACACACAGTGACGTCACGAGCTACCCACAATGCAACGCGCACCATATATCTATATAGAAATACGCCATTTTCCTGGAGGTGCTAATATTCTGGAGGTGCTAATATAAACAGCTAGGTAACGTAGCCAGGCAGAGCGCACTAGGTTTTTTTCTGAATTAACGACCGAAGAAATCGCTGCATGTTTTCGGATTACATCTCTGGACTTGAGGGGTGTGCTCTAGGTCGTTACCAGCGTAAACTAGAGCTGTGTGGGTTGTCCGATTGCCCTTACAGACTGCCTGCAGATGTATGGAAAAACGACTCTCGAAAGTGGCCTTCGGTCGATTTTGGCAGCATCTACGTCTATCTTCTGGAAACACCAGGTGAATACCCCACTTGTCACAATAATATTATCATGCCAATGCATATATGTGGTATTTTAGAGTTGACTAGATATTGATTAAGGCAATAGACTATGATATTCTGCTTGCACCTCGTGTGAAATGGTGGATACCGGAAGTACGGTGTCGCCCTCGGCCCAAAACCCGTATGTGTGTGTGAAAGAATTGGGGGGGTCTGGCGGGGTCTGAAAACCAGTCAGTATCTGGTGTGAGGGGTAGGATTAGGGTTAGGGTTAGGGGTAGGGTAATGTTGTGAATGGAGTGGCCTGTGTTCGTCGTCCATAACATACGCCTGCCCATACCATAACCCCACCACCACCATGGGCCACTCGATTCACAACATTACCCTAACGGTGTGTCCACACAGCAGCTTTGACCAAATCTTGAAAATCCTGGAGCTGGGCGTGTCTGACAGCTTGGGGATTTCGCGACCAACAACCAATCACATGAATATCACATGAATATCCCGCCCCCGACATACAAAGCAAAAAAACCCGGTTCTTCTACACTATTGTCAAATAGGAAGGGCTATGATGAACATTTATTTTTTTAACATTTTGAACATTTATGAGATTAATGTTTATGGTGCTATTTTATGCTACATTCCATGCTGGCTAATGATACTGTCTATGCTTGCTAGCAACGAAGTAAACTAGCAACGAAGTAAACTGGATATAAAATCCCCAAACAAGCGAAAACCTACCAGTTTCACCCACTGCCTCTGCCACCTCCCTCCATGCCTGGTTCCTCCGGTTTGTATCCCGGTAAGTAAATAGGGACTGGTCATAAAGAACCGGGTGATTTGCTACCGCAATAACTAACTTCTCCTCCATTTTTGTGGAATATAGAAATGAACTGCGGGTCTGGTTCTCCCAGCTTGCACGCGGTTTGATTGGCTAGCGCTTGAACTGTCAGATTTGCATAAACGGATCTGATTGGCTGTCGCTTCCAGCTCAGCCTCAAAAGTTGAACATTGTTCAACTTTGGAATCCTGAACATCCTGGAAATCTTCGCCTCGCCCCCCCACAATGCAGTTCGGCGACAAGCGAGGGAAAGTGACGTCATCCCCATTCAAAGTCAATGGGCGGAGACGCGCTGGAAGCGGTGGACAAATCGCCAAAAGCTGCTGTGTGGACGGGCCGTAACCCTAACCCTACCCCTAACCCTAATCCTACCCCTCACACGAGATACTGACTTGTTTTCGGACCCCCCCAGACCCCCCCAATAAAGCAAAACTGCACGTTTCAGAGTGGCCTTTTATTGTGGCCAGCCTAAGGCACACCTGTGCAATAATCATGCTGTCTAATCAGCATCTTGATATGCCACACCTGTGAGGTGGGATGGATTATCTCGGCAAAGGAGAAGTGCTCACTATCACAGATTTTTTCAGATTTGTGAACAATATTTGAGATAAATGGTTATTTTGTGTATATAGAAAATGTTTTAGATCTTTGAGTTCATCTCATGAAAAATGGGAGCAAAAACAAAAGTGTTGCGTTTATATTTTTGTTCAGTGTATATACAGAATATGTTTTTGTAGATCCAGGCTAGAAACATGTTAATTTTCTTATGTTAAGTTGGACATTTTAACATAGGGTCTACGGGAATTGCTCCCATCTGCATCCATCGCCTATAGTTTGCAGCATTGGGCTTCACCGCACTGTCCCGGGGTTTGCCGCTTGGCTCTGATAGGCCAGAAGTCGGTTTGATTGCATTAGGGCTCGATTGCTTATCCTGTCTGAGTAGCCCGGATGAGGCTGCATCGCAATTTTTGACGTCAAATTTTATACACCGAATTTTTTGACATCGAATTTTAAACACCAAAATATTTGACGTCGAATTTTTTTCACTTGAATTTTTGGGATCTGAATTTGAACATTCGAATTATTTTAACTTGAATTTTTTCATTTTTATTTCACATAGATAAATTCGGAGCAAAACAAATTGAGATTCATGATTTTCAAAGTAATTATTTTCAATGCTATAAATTCGGTGTCTAATACAATTCGAATACTTCTGTCTCTTGTTTGCTTCCATAAAAGACTTCTCTGTATGGTGATGCAGTCCAATAACCCTTCTATACTGTATGTGCTTATAGAGCTAGGGTTACAATACGTAACCTGAGCTACAGACACCATATGTGAACATTATAAGATAGCAGAATTATGTTGACCCACTCTGAGAGTTTTAGCACTTTGGTGGAATTGTGCATATTATTGCCGTGTTATGGAGCTAATAGTAGGGGTACATTTATTAAACAATATACAAAGCTGCAATATTAACATGTCCTCCCCCTCCTCTGAATTGATATAAAGCCAGCACATAATGACACAGTGGTCACAGTACTGAGAGCAACAACAGTTCACAGACAGTAAACACATTGCAAGTGAGTGGTGATCATGAAGTAAATGAATGAAAGTGGGAGAGTTCAGTAACCATGAGGAACATGAGAAACTACAGCAGGGTCAAGAATCGGTTAGTTAGCTCACTGACAGATACACGACTGGGAAAGAACAAACAAGTCATTTATTTATTTGTATCTTCTCTGTCAAATGGACGTCAGACATTTTGACATTTCAAAGCTGGAAAAGCTCAAATGTACATATCCTACAAACACACCTTTTATTAAGTCTGTTGTACTACATATAACAGAAGACATATACAAATATATATGTGTCTCTAATAGAGGCCTGCGCCTGTGTATATAAAGCTTCCTAATTCTCAGAGGAATTTCAGAGGAAGAATGTAACAGTTTTAGACTAGATCCTGGCAAATATCAAATGGATTCATAAAGCAGAGCTTACTATTTTATAATTGCACTAAAACACTTGTTGTGCCTTATAAATACAACATTTTATTATTGGAATCATTTGTATTATATATATATATCGTTTTTTTCTTCTTCTAATTATTATTATGTTTCCATTCTATGCCGATCATCACTAAGAGTTCATTTCATTGTATTTGTTTTAAACTAATCACACCATAATAAACGCATGTATCACATCTGGACCATACACTTTTGAATATGTATGTTTTTTGACTAAGATGTGCTTTGATATATTTCTTACAGACAGATGAAGAGCATGTTTTTCTCTTGTAAACAGTCATATAAGTATTTCAACTGCAACAGCATTGTGTTGTGAGTCCAGTCCCAACAGCCAAGCTGCAGTACCAGGTTCAACTTTGACCTTTCCCAATCATATACTGTATTATACAATGAAATATGGAAAAACAAAAATAATGTCGAAGTGAAGCTACTTGCATCAGAGAGAAAAATAGTGCATGCCAAGCGGTAAGGGTTAAGCTGAAACAAGGCAAAAGAAAACAAAAAGAAACATTGGTCTCAAAGCAGAAGGAATCACAGCAGCCATGCAAGCAGAACAACGTGACAGCAAACAGAGATCTGAAGAATGAAGATACAAACCTCCAACATTAAATTGCTATGTCTGATATAAAGAGTTTCACCCTCAAGTTTCTTAGCTCTTTTCTGTGGAGAATCAGGAAAAAGGGGAGAGCTGGTGGAAATATTGCAGAATTCATTCAAACATTTGAATATTTCATTTGCAATGAGCAGCACTGACCAGGGCAATGACAACATAAAAGATCTATGGGGGTTGCAGCTCAGTGAGGGAAAGTGAGGATAAACACACAGCTGGTGTGTGTGAAGCCAGCCATACACAATGTGAGAGGAAGTCACATGCTGCATGCAAAGGCTGCTGCAGGGCACTGAGCAGGACCAGGAGCAGGGCTGTGTGCCTGTCACTTCAGGAATTCACCTTTTATCTCACTATTTTTACATTTCCATATATGTGCACGATTGACATTACTGGCATATTTAAAATCAGCATAGTCTCACCTTGAGAGCTGGTAAACTGAATCATTTCAACAGTTTAATATTTACACATCCAGCAGTAACAGAGCAACATTAGCATTCACTTGGAGTCATGTTCATAGTCCACTAGAGTGTCACAGTGATGACGTATCTTTGTAGAATGACCTGTAAGATACCTCTGAGGTTTCCCTTCGACAAAAAGCCAGTGGGATTTTTCAATTGGATTTTGAAATATTCCAGAAAGTAAGCTCTGTGGCAAACACACGTTTACAATACCATCACGTTTTGATCAGCAGGATAATCTTCACATATTAACACTACTTTATGATATTTGAAGCGTAAATGCTATCGCTAGAAGTGTAAAGCTAACATCAGGCTATAAAGGAACTAAATCACGGTCACATGACTTCACATCCCCACCGCTAAGCTAAAGGCGGCTAAGGTTTTATGATGACGTTTAGTGGTCTCATTTAGTCATTTGTTAGAGCAACCGCACAAAGTGAGATATTTACTGATGTATTTAATGTCGTAAAACAAAAACGTGAAAACTTTTGTTAATCACAACCTTACTTCAGGCATCTAGCCAAAAATACATTTAAAGGAAAAAATGACTTTGAAAAGAGGGAACCTGTTCCCAACTTTGTTCACAATCATCGCAAAAAAAAATGGATGCAAAATCCTGGATTGCATGACTCAGCAGAAAAGGCTTTTCTTAAACAGAGATAAGTAACAACTAAACCTGTCCTCCCTCTTACAAAGCTATTTTTAAACATCATAGCGACATGTTTGCTTCTGGAGAAGGAGAAAGCACGTTGTGTACAGGAAAAAGGCTTGTTTTGTTGTGCTGCATGGAGTGACAGTCCCCAAATGATATTTTGCACAATGGATTGATTTCTCCTTATTCCCAGTTTTTGTAGAGCTGATTGGACATGAACAAGCCTTCACAGAAAGACAAGCAGCGGAAATCATAAAGCAATCAAAGGATTACAGCGCTCTGCAGTGGAAAGCAGCACTGTCGGAAACAAAAGCATGTATCAGTGATAAAGGGATGCGATGGTGAGTCGGCAGAACCAGCGACATGCTAACCTTCCTCACTCGCACCACCTCCGTCTTTGCTTTGTCCTTAGGAGAGTGCTGCTCCACCGAGGGAAGACACATAAGTTCAGGTATTGTTCAGTAAAAATACAGGTTTGGAAGTATGAAAGACTTCGCAAAATAATTGACTGTTTTAGTCAAAAACTGATGATCATGCAATAAAATTCAAGTTGTGCACCATCAATTCTGCAGTAAAATACAATATAATAAATGCCGGCTAGGTGGCTAACATAACATGAACAAATAAAGTTCTTAAAGAAAAACATAAGCTATTCAAATATATCTCCTGGTGAATTCAGCATAGAGGCTAATTTCACATCACTCTAGCATTACATATTTTAAGGAAGTATACTGTTTTCATTTACTTTCATTTGAGTAACTTGATATTGATCAGTGTTGAGCTACTGTCAGTAAAACTAACCTACCTACTTACTGCAAAAATGTCACTTTAAAAGATTTCTATGAAATAGGACTGGGTAATATCATGTAAACATAAGTCAGCATAATTTGGTCAGCCATCAAAGGTTTTACCACACTGCTTATAATATGGTAGCTACCATTTAGGACATTGTAAACAATATTGCTTATCAACGATCAGGTGAGATTTTAGGCAATATTACATGTTTCCATTACTTAACATAAATGTCATTTAGCTCCAGTATCACCAAAATATATACTGATATTGTGATATACATTATATTAATCGTAGTGATATCAAAATTGCTGACTCTATCTAAGAAAGGGACAAAATATTTAGTTTGTGCCACTGGAACTTTTATTGTGACATTTCTTTTTAGTAACTGTTGTGTTCCATAACTGATCAAAAAACAGCAAAAATAACAGCAACTGGAGATAATTACTGAGAAATTAGTATACAACAACTGTTGTATTGATTGAATTACAGCTATGAAAATGTACAGTACATTATACTGACTTTCTCAGCATGGAAGAAGTGTTGAGTTTGCATTAAAACAGATGCAGAAAACAGGGGGACTGGCTTATTAAATGAAGTCTTGATTCTTTCTGCATTCGATTTAAATAGAAACAGCTATATGATCATTTATTGGACATATCATGAATAACTTAGTAACTTTCTTATTTCATCCTTTCTTACTCTTCAAGTCATAGTGCAAGATGTTTTGTGAATACATGTCTGTTTAGATTATGTTCCAACTGGTTCAGTGCGAGCATGCTTCAGGCAAACAAACCTGGCTCTTTTTCTCTCTGTCCCCATTGGCGTTGGTCACAGAGGGGGAGTGCCTCCACTCTCTCCTGGAGAATGTCTGGTGCACAGACAAAGCTCACACATCAACACCAAGTCCAAGTACAACCAGGGCTAAAACATTACACACATCTGTTTACATAAAAGAAAAAAGAAACTTTAAAGCTTTGGTGGATGCACTTTGTGTTACACTGACAGCTACATTATGTTGCCACAGTTAGCCGCACTTCTGTCGTCTAACTATCAAAACACATCATACACAACAGTGTATATATGCTCCATATGAACACTTAAAGTGACAGTTCAACATTCTTTAGCAATGAAGAATTATTTCAAAATTAGTTGTGTTAGTTTGGCCACTAGCTTGTACTTACTAAGAGAGGATACATGCAGTGGACGGATTAGAACCCAAAAAAACATACTTTAAAGCTAACACAGGGAGAATACTTGCTAACCAAGCTTCAGAGCTAGCCTCCTGTAAGCCTCTCTGTAACTCAAGGAGCTGCGGAAACTGTAGCTCCCATGCAGTTACTTTATCTGACTTAAGAGACAAGGAATATATTTTCTGATGACGCAGGCTTCTGTTCAGGGTCCATTACTTCTGACTTGACACTCATACGTATAGAAAGAAAATTATATATTTTCATCTATGGCTGCGCAATTTAAATTGTATCGAAATCGCAATGTGCAAAGTGCAAAATCTTAATCACAGTAAACACAATATGTAAAAATACCACTCAATATTAATTATTGGGCAGCTTAAGAAAATTCCCTGGCTCTGAAGAAATCCTGGTTTGGTACAGATCCTCATTGATCATTTTGATATATTCAAAAAAGGTTATTCCCTCTAATATCGTTATAAAGTTGTATAACAATGGCAATATATATATATAATGCGTCTTAATATTATTTTTGCCAGATTATGCAGCCCTGTTCTGATGACATAATATTTACTTTGACAACAATCTATATCTCTTTATTAATAAGCCTTCCTTGTGGCCTCTTCCATGGTTTCTAAGTATATTGTCACCGTGTAACCTGCCCTTGTTGTGATGTAGAGGAGTGTGTGAGCTACCTTGATCTCTGGAGTGGACTCTGGTCTGTGGCTCTTGGTGTGCTCCGCATGCTGACTCTCCCCCTTCCCCTCCGCCTTCCTGTGTGCGGAGCGGTGGCCTTTAGGTGTAGAGCCGTCACGGTGGTCGGAGCGCAGCAGGGGGGGCAGCATCGGAGAGGAAGTGGCGTCCCCCGGAGACACCGGGGCCATGACGGGGGCGCTGACCGGGCGAGAGGACTTATTGTCGGGAGTGGAGGCCATGGCTGGACAGGAGGGAGTGAGACAATGCGGTCACTTTAACAGAAGATCAATTATGCTCTGCAAATATGACGAAAAAAACGTTAACTCTGCCCATCACTTATGTTTGGCCCATTTTATCATGCCTGTGGATTTATGAACGCAATTCTCTGATGCTGAGGACTTTGGTGTTTGAAGTCCATTTCTTCTTCATAAGTGTGAGTGCAAGAACCTTTCTGTCGGGTTTAATGATAAGGGAGGTACGAGAGCAATGTCAAACAAATATCAAATAGCCAAAATATCCTCCATTATAAAAGTTGTGATACATTGTCAAGATATTGTTGTCATAGGCCTTGTAACTAATTCACCAGCACTTACTACGGTATGACTTATGACTTACTTGCTTGAAGTTAATTTATCTGCACTTTCCTTGTTGTTTGGAGTTCAAATCGCTATGGTTTCTGCCCATATTGTAAGTCGCTTTGGATAAAAACGTCAGCTAATATAAATTAAAGGTCATGTAATATGTAATGTAATAGAATCCGGAAAAAAAAATGAAAAAGATGCCATGGACACAGGGTCTTTGTATATATATCACAGTATATATCAGTAAACCAACATTGAAATACTGTAGGTTATACCAACTGGCCACCTGGGACCAACAGACACACACACTCACACAGGGTACCTCCGTCCAGGCTGCGTGAGTTCCTCTTGCTGGAGGAGCGCTGGAACATGGGGGCCGGTCTGTCGATCAGGGAGCTGGCCTGGCGGGTCTGGGCCTGCGTGCGCCCGCTGTACCGGAACTTGGAGCCTAACGCCAGGAACTTCCTGGGCGTGGTGACCATCTCCGAGGAGGTCAGCCTGCACACCACCAACATCACATAATCATCCTCTAATCTGACTTTGGAATGAATGCAACCATACAAATACCTCAGGACAATTATTGATACAATTGGAGCCGTGTGCAAAAGGGGCACCAGTGTTTGTTCTGTCTTAGGAAACTCTCCTATTTTAAACCATGATAATCATGTTTTATCGTGCTTTTATTGAGTAAATTCTGTCTTTTTCTCTAATAGGCGCTTTCACACCAAGTACTTTGCCGTACTTAGTTCATCAGAACTCTTTAGTTCTGATGAAATCAGAGATGGGAACCTTTTTCTTCCATTAACTAAATTCTAGTTCTGGATTTTTTTGTTGTGAATGCACATTTTCGGAACTATATCGGAACTATACTGGGAAAAGTACTCCGGTGTGAAAGCGCCTATTGTCATCGTTTGGTCACCTGTCCTTAACAAGCAGAAACTCGGTCGTTTGCGTTACTGTTTATTGTCATATAGACCGTTCGGCCACACTAGGACGACAGAATACGGCACTAAACGACTACGATAACGATAACGGGTCCCAAGGTAGATAGAACGGCATACGCAACGCTCTGGGGGGTCCAACGGCTCCGTGTGTACGCCCTATACGATCATTTTCTGATAATGATAAGGCAATAGTCCCGCCTCTCCCCACCTCTGCTGCTCACCCCCGCGTCAAAGTAAACTGCACACTGAATTCAGATTATTTATCTTTCTCTCGATATGGACCTAAACGCGAGTGAAGTCTAATCTGACAGGACAGAGACACGCAGCTCTGCTCACCTGCAGCTCCTCCCGCTGTGATGCGGCGGTGAACGGAGAAAAACACACACTTCAAGTCAGATCATCGCCCTTAGCTATTTTAATTACCTCTCAAACTACCTAAACTAGTTATAAATATGTTTATTTTTACTGTCGGCCGGGTCACTCATTACTGGATCAGCTGCTGCATGAGACAGACACTGACGCTGTCAGAAGAGAGGGAGGAAAAAGAGAGGCTCCGTGTATTTTATTATTATATTATATAGATTCGTTATTCATTTGTTTTAAAGCTCAATAAATAACAAAGAAGACCTTTGACCGGCACTTTTATAATTTTGTCCGGAAGATTTCAACTTTAATACACGTTGACTAGCGAAAAACTGTCCGGTTCCCTCGGCCCCCACCACGGAGAATAAACAGATGGGCAACCATGACTGTCGTGTTATTCAATAATACACGTGAGTTCAACTGTCACAATTACGTGTCTCTTTATTGGTAGCCCACATGCTAGCACACACCTAGCTCACATGCTCTGTTACCATAACATGTGCTCTGCCTATGATGTCAATCAACCGTGCCCGTAAAGGCTTCACTCCTATTAGCTAACACACACACATATACAATAACACCACATCTCCCTTTTTATGAATCAATGGGTAGACTGCCATTGACTCCACAGACCTTAGAGGATTATTCTGCCTCTGTAGGGTGGAAGGTCTGTTCCTATCTGAACCAGATATAAAATAACAGTTAACTCCAGACCTTCATGAACTAAATGTAACCCTATGATATTTTGTGTATTACACAACATTAATGCACAACATTAATAATAACCAGTTTTTTTTACTCTCTTATAAAACTCTCTATAATATCTCTTAGGCTTCTGGTTTGTTTACAAGTCCAACCTAGCCGGTCTCACCACGGCTCTCCCAGACCTGGTTCTCGGGGTAGGTGGCAGATCTTGAGCACCGGGCTCCGGAGGTTCTGCAATATGCGGCTCTGGACCACCTCCTGAATGCTGCTCAGCTGCATCCCTGCCGCTCTGCTCTGACGAGGAGTACATGGGGATGAGATGATGGCGATTTCGCCGGACTGTCCCATGAGGTCCCTCAAGAATGTAGGAGCGCGGCGTGTTGTGACTTCTCATAACTGTTCCACTCGCCTTCTGATCCGTGACCCAAACCTCTTTTCCCGGTGCAAGCCTCTCGAGACTTCTCACTCGATGACGCAGGTTGTACCGCTGTGCATCCTTTATTCTCCTCTCTCTTTCTCGCAGAACTACAGCCTCGCTGTCGGGAAGAGCAGGATCCAGCAGCGCTGGTAATGTTGGCACCGTCGTGCGAAGCCTCCTCCCCATGAGAAGTTGCGCAGGGCTATACCCGTTTTGTAGTGGGGTGGTTCTGTAAGCCAGCAGAGCCAGATATGGGTCTGCTGCTTTCTTAAGGAGACTCTTTACAGTCTTCACAGCCCGTTCTGCCACACCGTTGCTCTGTGGATATTTCGGGCTGCTGGTGATGTGTTTAAATGCATACGACTCTGCAAACTCTTCAAATGCCCTTCCCGAGAACTGCGGCCCGTTGTCTGTGACCAGCGTCTCAGGGCTACCATGTCGTGCAAAGATGGATTTGAGATGGTGGATTACATCTGTTGATTTTGTGGGTGTCAGCAAAGCCATTTCCACATACCTTGATGCATAATCCACTACCAGCAGATATGACTTGCTTCCCAGCATAAACAAGTCGGCACCCAGTTTCTGCCATGGTCGGCCTGGGTATTGTGTTCTGTCTCTCCTTGCTGCATGTCCGGCAGTTGAGAACCAACTCATTCAGTTGCTGACTTAGCCCTGGCCACCATACAGACTGTCGGGCACGCTCCCTACACTTCACCACTCCTTGGTGACCTTCATGTAGTCTGGCGAGCACATCATTTCTCATTGTTGCGGGGATGACGAGTCTGTCCCCCTTTAACAGTAGTCCGTCCTTTACAGTTATGAACGCTTGTTCCGTCCAGTATAACTTTATGGCTGGTTCGCTGTTGCTGTGTGCTGGCCATTTCTCTTCACACAGCTGCATCATTCTTCCGCACACACTGTCCTTTGCCAACTGCTCTTTTAGCTCTTCCAGGTAAGCCGTGCTTGCTGGCAAACCATCGATAATCATGTCCACATAGATATTCGTGCTCTCGAGGAACTCTTTTTCATCTGGTGTGGAGTCTCTTTTCACAGGTGCACGTGACAGTGTATCAGCCGTCCACAGGCTTTTCCCTGGCACATGTGTGATTGAGTAGGAATAACGCATCAGGCGCATCCGGAAACGTTGAATCCGTGGGGGAAGCGCATCCAATGCCTGAGACCCTAGGAGACTCAGTAGAGGTTTATGATCCGTTTCCAGCTCAAAGTGTCTGCCGATGAGAAAGTTGCGAAACCTTTCACAAGCCCAGGTTAAGCCTAAAGCTTCCTTTTCTACCTGTGCGTATCTCTGCTCCGTCTGTGTGAGAGAACGTGACATATAGGCTACCGGCCTCCAATCCTCTTCCCATTTCTGCAGAAGCACACTCCCCAAGCCGTATGATGATGCATCAGCTGAGACCTTGGTTTCTCTGTTTGTGTCATACATGGCTAGCACTGGTGGAGATATCAGAGAGTCTTTCAGATCTTGGAAGGCTCTGGCCTGATCGATGCCCCACAGCCAGCAGTTCTTTTTGGAGAGCAGGTCTTGAAGTGGCTTGTCTCGCTCTGCTAGCTGCGGTATGAACTTCCCCAGCTGGTTGACCATGCCTAGAAAGCTCCTCAGCTCGCTCACATTTTTCGGCTCTTCCATTTTCCTTACCGCCTCTGTCTTGCTCGGGTCTGGTCTAATGCCGCTAGCAGCGATCACATGGCCCAGGTATGTCACCTCCTGTTTGGATATGTCACACTTTTCCACATTCAAGGTGATTCCTGCCTTTTGGATCTTCTCCAGCACAGCATACAGACGAGCGCCGTGCTCCTCCTGTGTTTGGCCCCACACCAGTACATCGTCCATGTGACAGACGACCCCCTCTAGTCCCTCAGTTACCTCAGTTGTCATCCTGTTTTGGAAATGCTCAGGGGCTGAGGCTATGCCGAAAGGTAGCCGATTGAAGTGGTATCGGCCAAAGGGTGTGATGAACGTTGTAAGGCTGAGCCTTTTGTTAGAGGTATTTGCCAAAACCCCATGTTTGCATCCAACTTGCTGAATATTTTGGCTCCAGCCAGCTTTCCCAGTGTTTCTTCCACTGAAGGTAGAATGTATTTTTCTCGACACACAGACTCGTTCAGTTTAGTTAGATCCACACATATGCGAACAGCCCCTGTCTTTTTAGGCACCACCACCATGCCAGCGCACCAATCTGTAGGCTCCTCAACTCTGCTGATCACCCCCAGGTCTTCCATGCGAGACAGTTCCTCTTTGACTTTGTCCATCAGTGGCAGTGGAATCCTTCTAGGCGTCTTCAGAGAAAACGGTTGGGCCCCTGGTTTCAGCTTAATGGCATATGGCTGCCGCACCTCTCCAAGACCGCTGCATACTGTTGGGTAATTAGTCTTTAGCGTGTCCATAGTGACGTTGTCTAGTCATGCCACTAGCTTCAGCGCTACACTGGCAGGCCTCCCGAGCAATGCTGTTTGCAAGCGTCGAATGACATACACATCCTCCATAAGTTCTCTCTCTCCTTTCTTCAGCAGCATACTAGCAAAGCCCACTACGTCTAAAGGATTTTTCCCTGGACCCCAAAGTGGCTTCCTTGGCTTTTGAAGAGCTGGTGGAGCTTTGTGCTTATCGACCTCCTTAAACACGGAGTGAGGAATGACTGTAACATCAGCCCCAGTGTCAATTTTGAACTGCACCCTTTTGTTGTTAATGTCAATGTCTGCCATCCACGGATCATTGTCGGCCTCAATGCTGCCTAAGAACAAGCTTTCCTCTTCTTCATTAATCTCATGCACGCTTTTAGCTGTTTTACACACGCGCATATAATGTCCCATTTTCCCACATGCATGGCATTTTACATCCTTGGCTGGACACTCAGTCTTTACATGTGAAGGAGAACAACCACAGTTATAACACTTTGCATCATTACCCTTGTTGTATTGTGGCTTGGCTTGGTAGCTATTAGCAGATTGAGCTTTGTTTTTAGCATATTTGCCACTGCTCTTAAACATTCTGTCCACTAATTTAGCGTCACATGCCTCAGTTCTATCGTCACCTCGCAGAGAAGATTGTTGCCATTTCACCTCTTCACTCTGCCGAGCCATGGTAATAGCTTTTCCCAAGGTAAGGTCTGAGTCCAGTTTCATCCGTTCAGACAGCCGCTTATCCGTCAATCCGACAACAAGCCTGTCTCGAATGAGTTCATCATGTAGCACTCCGTCGCTACAATGCTCCGCTAGTGCATATAGAGCTATGACGAATGAGTCCACTGGTTCACCTTCTCCCTGTCTGCGCATATTAAACTTTGCCCGCTCATATATGACATTTTTCTTGACAACGAAGAAGCCTTGAAAGCCATCCCGCACACCTTGGTAAGTGTCTCTCTGAGCCGCTGTGAGAGTCAATCCACGTAAAATATCATCTGCTTCATCTCCCATGCAGTATATCAATGTGTTGACTTGATTCTCTTCTGAGCTACTGTTCAGACTACTTGCCAGGCGAAATCTCTCGAACCGCCGTATCCATTTGGCCCATTCCTGCAGTCTTGAAAAGTCGAAAGGCTCCGGTGGCTGGATGCTAAACGTAGCACTCGGTCCTGCCGCGGGTCGCGCTGCATCTCCGTTAGCATTCTCGTCTGCCATGTCCTCTTTCTTCCCTTTTCACCGTCAATTGGCTCCAAACAATACTTTTTCCCGGTCACACTCCACGTACTGTCGACAGGACTTCTGACACCATGTCGTGTTATTCAATAATACACGTGAGTTCAACTGTCACAATTACGTGTCTCTTTATTGGTAGCCCACATACTAGCACACACCTAGCTCACATGCTCCGTTACCATAACATGTGCTCTGTCTATGACGTCAATCAACCGTTCCCGTAAGGCTTCGCTCCTATTGGCTAACACACACACATATACAATAACGCCACAATGACAACCATGCTTCTTCGCTGCTTTTGTGGAGGATGTTACAGCGCCACGTACAGGCTCGGCATATGTACTGCAGCTTCTCCAGCGGTTGGAGCTAAACGGAGCTGTCTCGTGTGGACAGACACTATCCGGTGAATATTGCGTGCGGACGGAAGCTTTTTTGCGATTGCGTTTGCGTTAATCCTATGCGTTTAGCCGTTTTCGTCCTTGTGTGGCCGGGGCCTCAGATCATAAATTGTTCTAGGACTAGGTGAGCCACAGCGAAACCTGGAGACCCTGAACTTCAGGCCGTTACAGCGGTTATCCAGCTCTATGTTAAATGATGACCCCCCCCCTCTAAACACAGAATTCAAGCTTCTTCCTTCAGGCCGGAGGTTAGTAGTCCCAAAGTGTAGGATTTAGCGTTTTAAAAAATAGCTTTGTTCCAGCAGCCATCACACAGTTGCTATGGTCACAATGACTATGTATTTATGTATTCATTAACTTTCTGGATTGCTCATGTTTATACTAGTGGTTTTTAAATGTTTTCAGATGTGACAGAGCAGGAGATAGTTTATTCGAGATGTGTCTTGTTGTCTGTGTTGTTTTGGAATGTATGTTGTTTTGGAATGTGTCATAATGGATCCCTTTTCTTTTACCTGCAAAACAAACCTACCTACGGTTCAAATATATAACCTGAACCTGAAATATGTTCTGCCTTACCCAATTTCCACAGTTAACCCCTGAAACACTGGACAGCCATGAGAAAAAACTTTCAGAACCCAGTCCCCTACCTGAAGAAAGTGTGATGTTCCACACACACTTTCCACAGCTTCTTGGCTGCCTTGTAAGTGGGCAGTTTGAAGCCAATCGCACTCTCATACTGCTCCACCTGTTGGAACACAAACATGCTTAGAAGATGACTCATCAAATCAGATGTGAGTACTCATGGATGAGCTGCAGATGTTTTGAATATGTATTGATGTGATAACGCTGTGTACCTCGGATGGTCTAATTTTTATGAAGAAGCTGCTGCGTTTGTAGGACACCTTGAGGACTTTGGGCCAGGGGAACCGGTTGATCCTCAGCTTGTCTTTGTAGACCATCAGACCACTGGAGCAGACCCCCAGCATGATGTCAACCCCATCCTGATCCTGCAAGAGGCACAGGGAGGGTTCAGTTAGACTCTTTCAGCAAAGCGACTACACAACCATTGGGATTCAGCCTCAAAGCCCCCCCCCCCCCCCCCCCCCCCCCTTTGAGGCTGAATCCCAATGGTTGTGTAGTTGATCCAGCCCCAGTTTCGAGAATGTTTTAACGTGTTTGTAGTATAAAAGCAAAGCAGAACAACCACCTTATTTTGTGATAGTAAATGTGATTTTAGAATACGATCACACCTGACTAGTTTGATTCAGTTCAAAGACACTGTGTTGCGTTGCCTATTTGGTTCTGTGCAATAGGGCTGTTAAAGCTGTCCATCCAACTCTGGTACAAACCAAATAATTGGACAGACACATTAAATCACTTTTCTTTTAGCAGGCCTTTTATCAAAAACAAGATGTGTATTCAACTTTGAAGATAGAAACTCAAACAAGGAAGAATCCTGCGAAGGAAATTAGCTCTCAGTACACAAATAATTGTATATAGTATATACCTTTTTATTAGCCAAGCTGCAGTGAAAACAGGTGGAGTTTCAGTCTGTGACAGAAGATGTGTAGACTCTCTGCTGTCCTCATATTGTTGTGTCCCCTAAAGCTAATAATTTTATATATTATGGATCACTTTGGTAAAGAAACTGGAGACAGGAGCTTCTGAGATTGACGTTTTTTAATTCACAAGCTCACGTCTCAACACCTTTGCTCTGGTAAAAGTGTCTGCTGGTCACAAGAAGACTTCCCTCTTTGCAGCATCCAGCATTAAGGTAATGTTTTTTATTTTACTGTTATTAACTTTGCTTAAAGTTATCTCACATGCTGTGCATGCTATTGTGTGTGTAACATTGTCCTACCTTTTGCCATTTAAACTGTGTGTATGTTTAGTTTTCACTGTGGATTTAGAGATCAGAGATCCAAAAAAACCTGTAAAAAGAAAGAAAGCCACTGTGGGCTTAATTAGTATTCAAATGTATTCAAATTTAAACAAAAATGTTGTTTATTGTTTAGATACTCTATTGAAATCTGTCCTACTTTTGATATGTATACGATTACTTTTTATGTGTATCTTTTATTTTATTCTATTTGTATTTTCAAAATGTTCTCCATATTTTTAACTCGTGTAATATCTGTTAACTTCCTAATGCTGTGACAAAATAATTTCCAAATGTGGGATGAATAAGGCATGTCTAATGTAATCTAATGTACTCTAATGTACTAATGATAATGAACACTTCTTGTACCTCCAGTGGTTGTGTTGTGATGCTCAGCATGGCTCACAGAGGGGCAGTATCGTCCCAGTTAGAGTCCTCCCTGTGTGTGGTTAAATCCCTGCTCTGACGTAAACAGATTGACCTGATTTCAGCTGTAAAACCTCACAAGTCACATGTCTTCCTGCTGTTTGGGCCAGGCGTGCATGCTTCTCTGATGCACGGCATTACAAATACTAAAAGACGAAGCTGCAAACACATTATGTTCTCTGTTTTAAGCCCTTTGTTTTCACGGAGCATTGGGAGGCTGAATCACAGTCACACCCAGATTAAGTGTTTTATTTGATCTATGAAGGAAACTTAAATCTAAAGTTGCCATGGAATACAAAGATAACTTACAACTAGGCATTTATTCAGGATTAAGAGCAGCAGGTGGGGCTAGGACTCACCTTGGCCTGGTGGAGGTCCACTCCATACATGGACAGCTTTTTGGCATTCTCCAGGAACATCAGGTCTGCCTGGGCCGGACTCATTGACCTGCCCAACACCACAACAGCTTTAGTTACTGCGATATCAATATTGGCTCTGATTTGTTTAATTCACATTGACATTCCCGTTATCTTAAACAGGTCTAACTAATCAACCGGAGAAGCTCAGACTCAATTGAATCATTGTTAAATCATCACACATGTGAAAGGCACTGTAGACTCTGCATTTAACCCTCTAAGTACCAGTATATGCTCCGTACTTGGTGCCTTCCAGGACCTTAACCGGCAACCCTCCAGTGTCCTCCAATGTCCACTTTATACATAATACATTCATTATTAGATGCAGTTAGTTCTGTTCAGTGTCTAGTCAGAAGTGAAATACATTTTTAAATGTGATGTCATTTTGTACATATTTCTATAACAAGTAGACACAACTTAACTTGTATTAAAATGTGTTGAGGTACTGTACCACATTTACATTATATTACAGATATATTTACTAGTTGCCTTTAAATTAAAATGTACTTTCGAAGACGTTTCTTTTTTGCTGCTTACACTGCACTTTCATCCATGTATTCATACCCGTCTTATTCTAGTTTAGTTTGATTTATTTGTATTGGCTTTTAAAAACAGTTATAACATCAGTGATTCCCACAGCATGTTAATACTTTGGGGGGCCCCCAAAGTATAATGGCTCCCCCCAAAGTATAATTTGTGTGGTTTTTGTTTTTTTTTACTCAGTGAGCACTCATTTGCATTTGCATTGGTGGCAATGAGTGCTCAGTGAGTAAAAAAAACTTAAAAATCCATAAATTATACTTTGGGGGGAGCCACCCATAAATGATACTTTGGGGGGAGCCATTATACTGGTAAACAGCCTCTATGGGCGCGAGTCCAGACCCACTTTTGGAATCAAATGATGACGTCAGTGGGATTATCTCCTTTATCAACTCCTAAGCATCCCTGGGACAACATCACTAGCCCCGCCCCTAAAAAGGTGTGAACTTGAGCCAATCAAGGACTACTACTACTAGGTCGTCCTTAGACGAGTTTGCCAACGGGTTCGCCAACCCTCACGGTCCTCCATACACCCGGCCAGCTCTGTGGAGCTTTCCACCCCCACATCCTTCCTCAGCACCTCCACGTATGTTGGCGTGGGGCGCCCTCTTGGTCGGTGCCCGTGTGTTGGCTCCCAGAGTACTAACTTGCCAGCTGGAAGTTCCTGGTGTCGATGGCAGTGACCTGCAAATTTCAGTTTCCTGGATGCCACCTTGTCACTCAGCCTGGGTAGCCCACCAGGACTAGCCCCGCTCCTAAATTTCACCAGTTTGTATATAGTTAAAATAAAGTTATCCGGTGATTAACGATCAGATACCAGTGTGGAGTTTTCTGTCTTAAATTTGATATAGATCATGTTCTTTGTTGATTCGCACCCCCGCAAATCAACCCCTGTGTTTGTGCTGGTTGTTTGTGTAATTGTGTGTGGTTGAGCTGCAGGTTATGTATGTGTATGTACGTATGGTATGCGCTAGCTTGTGCTACATGCTATTGTTAGCTTGTGCTACATGCTGTGTGGGATGTGCGTGCTGTTTATTGTTTTATTTAGCAGCATTAACAGTGATGACATATGCATATATTACATATTTATTTGTTGTTTACCTTTTATATTTGTCTGTCTTATAACCCAGTTCTCACGGGTTGGAATAGGTCCCACGAAATAAACCCAGTATTTTAAATCAAGACCTCAGCCTCGTGTAATTTACTGGAGGGAGCTACAATGTATTTGAATGTAATTTAATATTTTGCACTATGTGTTAATGCTTTCAACTTTCCTCACCTTGCATTTGGACACCTTAGTTGCATTTTGCAGATGACATGTATGTCCTTTTGATGAAAAATACGGGGTACAACATTACTCTTTTACAAGCCTTGTGTCATTTACTGGAGGGAGCGACAGTGAGAACTCGACTGCTCCGCATGAGTAGACGAGTAAAACGGCGCCAGGCGGCAGTGATCCATGGACGGCACGGGACATCTCCGTCGAAAGAGGATGAAGAAATGTATAGAAAACAGACATAACAGTCCGTATGCAAATCTGTTGCCTCTGTTAAGAGAAGTAATGGCTCTCATGGCACCAGGTCCTCGACTCATTATCGTAGCAACTCGAGAGCCACATCAAGAAGTTCATTCCTCTCTTCTATCAAAAGACAAGAAGCCGCTGCTGAAATTGCTGCAAATGAAGTGACTTTAGAAGTAATGCTAGAACAGGAACAACAGATTGAAGTATATACTAGAAGCTGAAGCTGCTCAGTTAAGAGCCGAACAGATTGAAGAACTTGATAGACTTGAAGCTGAAGCTGCTCAGTTAAAAGCCAAACAGGAGGCAGAAAATGCTGAGAGGCAAAGAAAATTAGAAGCCAAGCGCAGACAACTAGAGCGATTAGAGACAGTAAAGAAGCTAAAATCTGCAAAAGCGAGACATCAAGTATATGAACAGAATGCTCAGATGAAGAAATTAGCGAGCTGCTCCATCAACATGTTCCTCTGGTTGTGAAAGAAGAAATCAAGCATGAAAACAGTGAACTGCAAAACCACTCACCACCACAAGCTGCGACACAACCAAAACAAGAAGACAGTACTTCAGCTCTTGTCAGAGCTCTTGCAGAGTCCATCAGTGCAAGTCGTCTACCTGTACCTGAACCTACAACATTCAGTGGTGACCCACTGAGGTTCAATGACTGGAAGGTCTCCTTTCGTACACTTGTTGACAGGAAAAACATCCCAGCTGAAGAAAATATATACTATCTAAGAAAGTATGTGGGTGGACCCGCCAAGAAGGCCATCGAGAGCTACTTCCTGCTAGGCACAGAGAGAGGTACGTTAATCCTTTCCTCATTGCTAAGGCCTTCAGAGATAAGCTTGATGCATTGCCCAAGATAAGTTCCAAAGACAGCGTAGAACTTCAAGAGCTCTCTGACTTCCTTCGCAGCTGTAAGGCTGCCATGTCACAGATGAAAGGACTTGAGGTACTTAACGACTGCAACGAAAACCAACGATGCTTGCTAAATTTCCAGACTGGTTGACCTCAAGTTGGAACAGAAAGGTCACAGAAATGGAATAACAAAATCACACATTCCCAACCTTCAGCCAGTTTGTTACATTTCTCACACGTGAAGCCAAAATAGCCAAAAAAATAGCTTGCAACCCAATAACATCTCTCCATGCTCTGAAATCAAGTGAAAGCGAAAAAAAGCAAGATTTGAAGGAACAGAAGTCCTGTATCAAATGTATTGACTACAGAGACAGATGAAACAGCAGACACCACTTTTCTGTGAGAAGACGGGACACGGTCTACACGAATGTTACAAATTCAGGAATGAGACAATCTCTGAGCGAGTCAAGTTTGTTCAAGAGAAGAAGTTGTGCTTTGGCTGTTTGAAGTCTGGCCATCGCTCAAAGGAATGTTAAAACGGAAAGATGTGCGAAACATTCGAAAAAGGACATCCAACTTGTCTCCACGACAATCGCACCAGAGAAGAAAGAATGTCAACAAAACATGATGGTGCAAGAGAAAGCATAATGGAACGGCCACACAGTAAAGCGGCAAGCATACCACATGAGGCAATATCTGATAGAGTCTTTCAGAATGTTAAAGACCCCCATACATCCACAATCATTCCAGTGTGGGTGTCAGCCACAAGTGAGCCACATAGTGAAATACTTGTGTATGCACTCCTCGATACACAGAGTGACACAACATTTATCCTTGAAGAAACAGCAAATGTTCTTCGCGCAAATAACGAAGCAGTGCAGCTAAAGCTCTCCACAATGGCTTCAATAAGCACACTCGTGTCATGCAGGAATCTAACTGGTCTCCAAGTGAGAGGATTCTACTCGGACAGGATAATACCTCTGCCAGTAAACTACTTGTAACCCACATTAAAACATAGTAAGCATAAATTCATTAAAAAGTTATTTAATTAAAAGATACACGTTTAAAATTGGTCAATGATATCATCCCTTTAAAAATATAATAAATAAAAGTAGTATGACAAATTACAAGGTACTGTTCCTTTAAGGGATCTCTGCTCACCGGGCACGCGCAGCGCAGCGTAGCAGGAGAAAAGAGAGGAACACGGAGCGAGAAGCAGATGAGGCGAGCGGAGTAAATTATATTAAAAGTAATGCTGTCAAAGTTATCGCGTTAACGGCGGTAATTCATTTTTTGAATTAATTGCGTTAAAATATTTAACGCATTTAACGCATGTGCAGAATGGCCCGCCCCATTCATCCCACCAGTGGCAGCGCCAGGGTATGGCTGGGGTAGGCTACACCCATAGCCTACCAAGAAACGGCTTAGCCCCACCTTGAAAAATGATGTTAAAGTAAGCAAAATAAAGTCCGCAAAATAAAGTCCGCCAACTCGCGCCGAGAATTGCACAGACAGCAGTTAGTAAGATTGATTTCAGTAGCCACTTGTCTGGAAATACGGAAGACCAGAAACGGTTTTGAAAACTTTTGTCACGTAGTGATCATCTTCTCAATAGAACATCTTTGATAATGTCTTCTAGCCAATCAGAATCAAGATAACGGCGTGGTGTTGTTGCAGGAAGTCCCGACGGAGAATACTTTTGATGTAGTACAGGGGTGCACATAACTGGTACGCAGGTTATGTGCGTAATCTGAAATGCGTACCGTCACTTGTGTCACAAAGCGCATTTGCGTACCGACGTACTTGTGAAGCTTTTCAAGAAGGCGGTTAGATCACCGGACCTCCATGTGCACAGACAGGGCTGCTGTTAACGTCGGTCTGTACAACGGAATTGTGCCAAAACTACGCCAACCGGCTGCGGAAGGAGACTCCCCCCCTTCACTGGAGAACTGGCTAAAACAGCTGATCACAACGTTCACACTCTGTGGTCACGAAGTACTCCACTAGCCCCCCCCCCCCCCCCTGTCGACTTTCCTGAAGTAGCCTACTCCCCCGTTGATAGAAATCAACACGTAATTAATTAAGACCCCACGGTTTGATGATTGATAGGTGTGTGG